ATGGAAAAAATATTATTATCTGAGCCTGAAGAATGGATCCTTAAAGTTTCCGCTATTTGATTTGGCACATCCTTTGGCTTTTTAAGTTTAACCAGGTAGGTTTACTTAAAAAATTAATAATAGGAAACTAAGACTGCGAGAATCGCTAGATTTCCTCCTTTTTCTGCATTTACAATTAAATGGGTAGTAGTCAATAATCTTTGATATTTTGGTTTAAAATTCTTAATTAGATTGATAATTTTAGTTTCTTTGTTATCGGTTTATATTTAGGTATTTACAAATGTTTTTTTAATGATAATTTTGGTAGGTGGTTAAAATGGTATAGCAATAGTTTTATTAAATTTTGGTTAGTAAGATTTGTATTTTTTATGTCTCACTGATTCTTATTTAAAAGCCAGCGGAATTCCCTAGTTTTGCTAAAGAAGCAATCATTTCCCTACGGAAGGCTCAGAAACCTAATTCACTCGTCCTGGATTTTTCAACGTTACCCTGTAAAGGCTGTTCCATTTTTCCCCGGTAGGTAGGTGGCCGTCGTAGCTCGGACGTTAGAACACGTTCCTTATTTACGATGTACAATACTCATTAGCGTCTTACAAATTGCATCACAGCTCCGTTTTCGGTCACTGATAGCCCGTAACCAAGTGATGTACGGCGAAGACGAAGAATCAAGTGGATTTATATGACTGAATGTGAGGTTTGCTCAAAACGGCGTCAAAGTATGAAACCAGTGCGCACGCACCAGCCGAGTGGACGGTCCAGTGCTACCGTATACTAAGGAAAAATGCCGTGTGAACTTTCAGACGTTGCCAGATTCCCTCCGATAAAATACGAGTTTCCAGAGAGACGCGTGGATATTTCTCTCGAACATTATCAGGTAACTTCATCCACAGTTTAATTTACAGTATCTGAAAATGTCTAGACAATTTTTGCATAATTTTCTTTAAAAAAAAATTAATGTTATACAGCAGTGGCGTGGGGTGCTTTGCGATATATCGATTAATCTGTCATTTAAATCTAAGGAAAAGGATCGATAAACAGGTTGCCCGCAACGAACACCTTAATAATCGATTCTTTACACACCTTCAAACGGGGAAATATCGATTATCGATAATTTACGCCTCGCTTTGTTGTAAAGAAGGAAATTTTGCAGCATTTTGATGTTCATGCGGCGTTTATCCATAGCACGGCAGAAAAGTTATACCAGCGGGTCGATTATTGAAATTGATAGACGAAGCTATAGACAAAGGAGACAAAAGAGATATGGAGAGATCTTATTGGTGGAAGCGGATGGTTGCAATGGACAAAGGAGGTAGGTCATAGACTTACTAACGGCAACCCACGAGAGACCCGACAGTTAGTCTATCATTTTCTCCCTTAGTCTGTAGGAACCAACCAAGTCAACCAATAGGATAGCTCCATACTCCCCATGTCTTCTTTGTCTATCGCTTTGTCTATCTGTTTCAATAATCGGCCCGCTGCCCTGTTTAGAAAGAGCGCCGTATGTATATTCGAATGTTGTCAAATTTCTTCCAATAGAATACAGTTTTTGATTTTGGGAACAGTTGAATATTTTTCTTTTCAACTTTAATCACAAATTCACCGAAAAATTCGGAGCAACAATCTTCAAGTTTTCGAGAAAAATCTCATTTCATCGGAGGAAATTTGGCGACACAGGACACACTACTGTTCATATGACGTTTTGTCATGGCTTGGCCATATCGACATCACTGGTAGGGCCTGGCGAGAGTGTTACTTTTTCTAGGAGCACACTCCTTCCTCGACCAACTGCAGGTCAGTGTCGACGTTGAGTCGTAGATCTCACATCGCGTGCTTTCGATCACAATAATTCAGGCACTCAACTAGTCTCCGTTTCCGTTGAAGTTCGCGCGAGATAAGTTGCCAACTTTTGCGTGGGCATTTTTTATGTCACGGACATTGCATTTTGACACTTGAAAGTGTCGTAAAAGTCTATCTATCCGGAGTAATTTTTTTTTGTTAAAAAAAAAAAATCCTTCAACCCTTTAGAGAGGGATCCCCCGGTCTGCTCCTTTCACTGAAAGTTTCATCAATTAAAATAATTAAACCTCAGAGGGAGCTGTACTGAAAAATAGAGCGTCACGGACATTACAAAAATAAGACCAGCATTTGTAATGTCCGTGACGTTCTTTTTTCAAGATAGCTATTTCCAAGTTTTAAATATCATAATGAAACTTTGTGGAAAAGGAGGGGAACTCGTCTTGTAAGCGTTTAAGGATTTCTTGAAATTTTTTGCCCCAAGTAGTAACCACTTTGACACTTTAAAATGATAAAATGTAATATCAGAAGCCAAAAATCAAAAAACAAAACCAAAAAACTAAAATATGCCTCAAAGCTATAGTCACACTGAAAAAAAAACTCCGGCCGTGGGAGCCGCAATTACGGGCTATATAGAGATACCGTCCGTTCCGGGCTCCAAGGCCGGAAATTCCGGCTGCTGGAGCCGTATAGCTTCGGCCTCTGAACCCGGAGCAATCGAAGTTACGGCTCCAGCGGCCGGAATTTCTGGCCTTTGAGCCCGGAACGGACGGTATCTCTATATAGCCCGTAATTTCGGCTCCCACGGCCGGAGTTTTTTTTTCAGTGCACTGTTCCCTGTGGAAAGCAACACTCATCCTCATCTTATGACGGTTTTTTCACGAGTAAGTTCGTCAAACTGCATCTAACAGATGAAACAGATTGCTCTGCATATCGTTTAATGACGTCATTAATGATTCATCAATCAGCAGGAGACGCAAATGGTGGTGATCCCCAAAACTTTGACATTGATCAAGCCGCTATTGCGAGGTCTCTAAAATTCTTTCTCTTTGTCCGTGACATACGCAACCGACCCATTTGATCGTGTAACGATAGCCTAGGACAGGAGTTCTCAAACTGTGGCTTGCAGACCCCTTGGAGCGTCGCATCGCGTCGCACAGTGGATCGAGTCAATAGGAGGGGTCGGACAAAATTTGGAAACTTCAAAAGCTTATAACTCCGTTTTCACAAAACTTTGACGTTTTAAAAGTGGTTCCATTGGTTTTCTCGTGAAATTTACTTCTAGAAGCACCCCTTAAAATTTTAAATGTGAAGAAATAAACATACAAATTTGCAGTTTTAGTCGAAAATTTCATGTCCAACCCCTCTGATTGACTCGATCCACTGTGCGTCGCGTCGCGGGCAGTAGCGTGGCGAGCTTTGCGATCTACCGATATTTCTCAATTTGAAGCTGTGGTAAATTATCGATTATTAAGGTGTTCGCTGCAAACACCTTATTTATCGATACTTTTCCACAGCTTTAAATGGCCAATCAACCGATTTATCGCAAAGCACGCCGCGCCGCTGGTCGCGGGACGAGACGAGAACGACACCAGCAGAGAAAGTGAATAGAAGATACATGTTCAGAGTGAAGGAAATGCAGAAAAAGAACGCAATTGAAAGAGATAAAATAGACTAAAAAACGACCAAAACCTTCAAATCATACAGAAAGTATGACGCTATAGAGTTTGCCCATATAATACCATCTTCATGATGCGGCTTACGTATTTATGTTAAAATTAATTATGCATAAATGAAAAAGAACGTTACCTAATTAAAAGGAACCTGACTTTGGAAATAAGTTCTCGAAATAGAGTACGAAGATTTACCATCACAAAAAATAATGAACATCCAGAGAAAATATAATATGAGAATTTTGTACATTTGAAGGTATGTCCGCATCTACCATGCGTTTATCAAAACCGTATATAATTTCGCTCCCGTATTTTGTACTTTTTGCAATGGGAAATCATTACGATTCCTGGCAAGGTTTCATTTCAAAATTTATATTGCTGAATTTTATTCTACTTTGGCAAAAACTGTCTTCTTTATGATGCTATGTTAGGGATTTCCTTAAATCTCCCCTAATTACAATGTAAACCATATGGGGCCTCCTGAGGGAAGGAGCTGTTTAAGGAACATTTATGAGTACGATCATAGGCGGATCCAGCCTCTTCCAATGGGGAGGGGGCAATACGGGTCCGGGGGGCTTCCCCCAGAAAATTATCAGAGCATCTAACACGCAGTTTGAGTCAATTTCCATATGAATAATTGCCGCATATAAGCGCCATCCTTTCTTTCTTTCTTTCGTTTTTCATGGCCTTAGATGCTAAAGCACCGCTTTAAAATAAAATTATTTTACTACTACTACCTCTTGTTTCCTTTCGTCCTTCCTTCCTTCACCGCTTTAAAATAAAATTATTTTACTACTACTACTTCTTTTCTTCCATTCTTTCTCTTTTTCAACACGCAGTTTGAGTCAATTTCGATATGAACGATTGCCGAATATAAGCGCAATCCTCTCTTCTTTCTTCCGTTCCTTCCTTCCGTTCCTTCCTTTCTTCCTCTCTTCCTTTTTTCTTTCTACTGCCCTCTTTAGAGGTGTAAATGGCCTTAGATGCTAAAGCACCGCTTTAAAATAAAATTATTTTACTACTACTACCTTTCTTCTTTCTTTCTTTTCTTTATTTCCATGTAAATATATTACTACTACTACCTTCTTTAGAGGTGTAAATGGCTTCAGATGCTAATGCACCGCTTTAAAATAAACTTATATTACTACTACTACTACTTTCTTTCTTTTTTTCTTTATACGTCTTTCTACTTTCTCTTTCCTCCTCTTTTTCGGAGGAAGAGGGGGGAGGGTGCACGCTCCCCCTTGGATCCGCCAATGAATACGACCCTTCCAGGCACACTCTCGTATATGACTTGAGTCCTCGAGCAAAAAAGTTTGGGAACCGCTGTCCCAGGGTACTCTTTCTCCTGGCGCTTGCGCCCAGAAGACGCCAACACGGTGCGCGGTGGGCCGCCTAGATCCACGCTTCCATGACGCTGAGCCTGGGACGGGGGGTGGGGGGGGCGGCATGGGGCAACGGGGCAGGGGGACACACGGGGGGCACGGGGGCACGGCGCGAATTGGCGGGTCTCGGGTCAGTCTTCTCGGAGCCGATTCCTCCAGCGGTCTTGACGTCCGCTCCCGCGTTCCTTCACGTCCTCCACGCGGTCTCGGTCGCGAGCAAGCTTCAAAATATCGCCCCTCGCCCTCTTCTTGTTCCTCGTCGCCTTCTCCCTCTTCAACTTTTTCCTCACCGTTTTCACCAGTGTCGCCGTCATCGTCTTCCTCTTCACGTTTTTCTTTCGAGTAAGTTCACCTCCAGCCCGGAACCGCGTCCGGTCCCTCTAAAGTGCGCTCCCCGGATTTCAACCCTTAGCTCGCCGCTTCCTGCTTTTGGATAACGCTTTACCACGTATGTTTGCATGCAATTTTTTTAGTGGGAGGGTCGGACCAGGAGTCGGACCCTTTCGGAGGGGAGGGGGGGGGGGCTCAATACTCTCAACCCCATCCCCCTCCCGAATCGCAGAGTTCGTCGTTTCTCGGACGAAAGAACATAACTCCATTCAAGGTTGTAATATTGACTCAAACAATTCAATTTTTTACAAGAATGCATCTGTGTAGTTTTTGTCCACAAATTTTCTTAATTTTTGCATGAGATCTGAAGAAAAATCAGTTGATTTTTCAGTGCGAAATGTCAAAGGCTCCCCTGGTGAAAATGTAATTTGCAAGGAAAACTTGGCAAAATTGAAATGTGGTTACGTTCTTTCGTGAGGGAATTGACGAGTTGACCCTTTTTTCGGCCATTTTAATTCATTTAGAACGATTCTATGAAGAATTGGACGTATTTATGCTAAAAGGAACTATGTACGTAGGGTTTGGGTGTAACATAATACCTTTTAGAATAAATACGTTCAATTTAAAGATATGTTTTGAAGTTTTGACCTTCCAACCTAAAGTAAATTTTACCCACTCGAAACAACCCCTCTCTCGCAAGTAATGAGGTTTGGGGTAATTTTGTCCATTTGAATTAATTTTAGGGGATTTAAAGAGAGCTTTGAAAGTTTGGCCTTGCTCATGGGCGGATTAGTATGGGGACGGAGAGAGGGGGCCTGGCCCCACTAGAGATTTACTTAGTCCCTCCATGTGTGAGATTCCTCTGAACGAAGTGTAATTTGTTTCTCACCTTAATCTGAATTCGATAAATTTGTTGATAATGAATACAGCTTAGCAAATTGCATCTGAGATGACTCAATTTTTAAAAATGGTCCGCTCCCCACCCCCTGCTGACGTTAAGGAAATCCCTTGAGCCCTCTTTGAAGGTGGGGGAGTGCCACAAAGCCTCCAAAACGGGGTGTTTCTTAGTGTCACGTGGCCCTCCTTTGACGAAGTGTCCTGTCCTCCAACAAAATTTTCCTAGATCTGCTTCTGCTCTTGGCTCTGCCTTTCCACAAACAAAGTTGCCCTTTTCCGAACAACCCCCTTAGCTATACCTTGGGTGAAATAAAAGCCCATAATTACGTTCGGAAAGGCTTCAGTGGACGTAAAAACGGGACCTTGTACACACTCGTTGAACGAAAAGAAACTAAGTTTTACAAATTTTAGCGCTTCATAATTTTTTTTATTTACTTCTTCCGATTTACATATTTGTTTTTTGAATAAATACGTCCATTTGGAATGGGTTAGGAAGCCCGTTACCGAGAGATATTGAAGTCATTGTTTATTTGTGACTTAGCGCGAGCTTTGCCTTGAATTCGAGCAACCCTAGACTTTAGTTCATCATTTGAGTTCACTGCACTCTACAAGAATGCAATTCAAGGACAGATATACGTATTAAATTAACGGTAATAAAATTCGGAATAATGAGAGAAAATAATGAAGCACTGTCAGGATTAAATCCTGCCAATTATGCTCGATGTACGAGAACGTGCTGCATAAAATGCCTAAGTTAACTGAAAGAAATTTGACAGCTGTCGGCTGAAGATATTTTTTTAATTTTTTTACATTCCATCTTTTTATTTATCCATTATCTACGGGCTTTTATGAAACTCTTACTTCAGAATACTATGTTCACATGCAAAAATTACAGGCACATTTTAAGGCAATTACACACTGAATAAATGATTATTCTTTCGGGATGATATGAGATACTACACTTTTTCGATTTTTTTTTTTTTTTTTTTTTTTTTTTGACAAGATTGCTAATTTTCCTCATTTCTGTTTTCAATTTAACCTTTAAATTACGCGGAAAAAAAATATCATCGACCGCTCACGAATAATCAGAATCGCAGGAAATCAGACCGCAGATAGTCAAATCTCAACTGCGTGTTTGCACCACTCAAAAGCAACCGAATTTTTGACTTATGTTAGAAATTACAATGTACCATTTACCTTCCGAAGCAGATAGGTACTTTTACACAATAAAGTTTCAATAATCCGCAGTTCGATCATTCGCGATGTGTAACCGTCCACGTTTAAATGTAGTCTAGAAAAACATTAATCATAGGAAAATCTTTGATTTATTGCTTTTTGCCAACAAAATAAGTAATGATATTCCAAGCAACACCTGCGAATGCTATACATTTTGAATGCGCGCGGGTTATCTAGGCCCATGTTGGTCGTTTAAGGCGTTGAAATGAAAGAGCCAAGATTTTTTTTTTTTTTTTTTTTAACGAAAACTCAATAAAATCGCGTTGTTAAAAGTTTATGTGCGAGAAATACTGAAAAGCAAAGATCTCTAGATCGATTCAAGTAAAAATGGCACAAAAAAAGTATCACTGAAAAAAGTATCACAATCCCAACTATACTCTTGGCTGATTTTTGCGCCAGACAGGGGAGTAGTTGCACCAGCCAGAGGTATGGTTGATCCAACCATACTTTCGGCAGACTCATTCATACCGCTGACTGGGACAACTACTTTTTTATCTTGCGCCAAAATCAGCTAGTTGGGATTGTGATAATTTTTCTCCGTGATAACAAGCCTTGGATCAAAATGACCCATGTCAGTAATCTAAAGCGTTAAAACTTTTTTCAGCGCATTATCATACCTCCGAAACAGCTTAAAACAGAATTGAATAGACCATTCTCAAAAAGACTTATGCGCCAAATATGAAAATACAAGAAAAGGAGTAGAACCAGCATTAAACGCCCAGTTTTAAATCGCAGTTTAATGAAAATGTCATCGATTAATTCATTGCTTTAATATTTTAGAGCTCTGATTCAACGGTTCAATCAAGCTGGTGCATGATTACCGTTTTCCTTGTGGATGCATTTTTGGCACTTAAGTCTTTTTCGGAATGACTGATTCAATTGCGAGTTATGTGTTTATTGTATAACTGCGTGAAGTCCCGGTACTCAAGACGAGAATTCAGAATACGGAGGAAAAGCGACGCTCAACCGGTCAACTCTGCCGTGCTAAGGAAAAACGCCGCATGAACATTCGAGATCTGCAAAATTCCCTTCGATAAAACATGTATTTTTGACGAAAGTTATGCATATTTTCCCTCGAAACTTTCAGATATTTTAGATTAAATTGCGTAAAAAATTGTAAGAAAATTTTGGAAAAAAAGATTCACAATTTCCTCGGTAAATTCGGTTTTTATCGGAGAAAATTTGGCAACGCCTGAAGACTCATCAGGCGTTTTTCCTTAGCACGGCATAACTCGTCTTCACACATCCGCCGAAGATCTGTTAATAAAGTATCAAAGCTCTCAAGGATAATCGTGGAAATCTTTCAGAATATTAATGGCGGTTAATCACGGATAAGCGCGGCGTCGTGTTAGTCGTGAAACTCATGACGAACGATCTGAAATCTGTTCCTATGAGGACAAAACGACCTAACTCAATTTTCAAATGAACCCCGGAGTGCATGGAATCGCGTAAACGTTGGGGCTCATATCTGAACATTGTTGCGTTCTTTTGACGTATTATTTACTTGCCCCGCCGAAATCTAGCATATCTCTGTTTATTGAAGGCAGACCAAGATTTACAACTCAGTTTTACACGGAGAGTGGGATTTCAAAACATCTTAAGTGCGCGTATTGCCAGGATTGTGCAACAGTTTCCGTCATTTAACGGGTGTCTAATGGCCTGAGAATATAAAATTCTTGTTCTAAAATTGGACTTCATTTGGCAATTTGGAGCTATAAATTCTGGCCCTGTTTAAAAACAACGTATGGACCATTAGTTTCCCTATGCACACAAGTGTTTTTTCAGATGAGCCAGAATTTATAGTTCCAAATTGCAAAATGCAGTCCAATTCGTCGTTCCCTTGACCAAAGAACGTAACTACATTTGGACTTCATTTTCAATTAGGAACTATAATTTCTGGCTCATCCGAAAAAACACTTACGTGCATAAGGAAACTAATGGCTCCTACGTTGTTTTCATACTGAGATCCTAATCCTGGATCCTGGATTCTATAGTTCCTAATTGCAAAATGTAGTCCATTTCAAGGTTGCGAAATTTCTACTCGCATATTGTATTTTTACCTAAACGCTGTTGGGTGACTCTAATTGAAGTTGTCTAAGACTATTTTTCTGACTACACCCAAAAATCAACAAAATTTTGGACACTTTCCTGGTCTTATTCTTATAAAACGTAGAATTTTTTTAGTCAATTCTGCAACGCGTTCCTCGTTTGGGAAAGGACGAGTGGAGACTAAGATCTATTCATAAGAAAAAGTTTATGAAGCATGATGCATTTAGGTTCTTTTACGTAATACAACATCATGTACAACCTAAACGACACTTAATGATGCCCAGGCTGTTTTGAACTTTTATCTTTGACGCGCTGAAAACTGAGGTAACCGCTGAATTGAGCATGAGAAAATAGCACTTGTACCACATCCTACTTTGAAAACGCAGTGTAAACATTCTGATGATGCCAAGTTTTATCTGATTGAAGACGAATTTTCTGGAGTACTATTGAATTTTCCAATTCCGATTTTCCAGGGATTTTCATCTTCAATTTAATCGAATGTTCCTGAAAATTTCAAAGAAAAACATTCACACTTTTTCCGATGTGTAAGTACGTTAACGGGAGAGACTCGGCTACATTGGGATCTACATACGTCGTTCCACCATAGCAGGAAACATAGGCATTGATCGTGGGAAAATCCAACACGATCTGCTGACGCACCCGGTGGTCGGATCCGGCTATTGTGCGGAGGCATTTTACATTATATCTATTTAAATAGGAGGTAATAAAATATTAAGGAGGAAATCAAGAGTCTATTTTATGTAAGAAAAACTTAACTGCTGGAAAAAAATTGCTACGTAAAATGTTTTATCCTGCGAATACCAAAAATCTTATCGCATTTCATTTAACGATCGTAAGAAGCACAGGAAGATCGATTACTAATGAATCCCAGGTTTTATGTGACGCTAATTCGTTGCCCTCCCAACAGAAGGACGT